CCCATCCAGGCCCCCACCCATCCAGGCCCCCACCCATCCGTGCCCCCACCCATCCAGGCCCCCACCCATCCAGGCCCCCACCCATCTCAGACCCCACCCATCCCGGCCCTCATCTATCCAGGCCCCCACCCATCCAGGCCCCCACCCATCCGGGCCCTCACCCATCCAGGCCCCCACCCATCTCAGACCCCACCCATCCGTGCCCCCACCCATCCGTGCCCCCACCCATCCCGGCCCTCACCCATCCGTGCCCCCACCCATCCCGGCCCTCACCCATCCAGGCCCTCACCCATCCAGGCCCCCACCCATCCAGGCCCCCACCCATCCAGGCCCTCACCCATCCGTGCCCCCACCCATCCCGGCCCTCACCCATCCAGGCCCTCACCCATCCAGGCCCCCACCCATCCAGGCCCCCACCCATCCAGGCCCTCACCCATCCGTGCCCCCACCCATCCAGGCCCCCACCCATCCAGGCCCTCACCCATCCGGGCCCCCACCCATCCAGGCCCTCACCCATCCAGGCCCCCACCCATCCAGGCCCCCATCCATCCAGGCCCTCACCCATCCGTGCCCCCACCCATCCAGGCCCTCACCCATCCAGGCCCTCACCCATCTGGGCCCTCACCCATCCGTGCCCCCACCCATCCCGGCCCCCACCCATCCAGGCCCCCACCCATCCGTGCCCCCACCCATCCCGGCCCCCACCCATCCAGGCCCTCACCCATCCAGGCCCCCACCCATCCAGGCCCTCACCCATCCAGGCCCCCACCCATCCAGGCCCCCAACCATTCAGGCCCTCACCCATCCCGGCCCTCACCCATCCAGGCCCTCACCCATCCAGACCCCCACCCATCCAGGCCCCCACCCATCCATGCCCCCACCCATCCAGGCCCCCACCCATTCAGGCCCTCACCCATCCCGGCCTCCACCCATCCAGGCCCCCACCCATCCAGGCTCTCACCCATCCAGGCCCCCACCCATCCGTGCTCCCACCCATCCAGGCCCCCACCCATCCGTGCCCCCACCCATTCAGGCCCTCACCCATCCCGGCCTCCACCCATCCAGGCCCTCACCCATCCAGGCCCTCACCCATCCAGACCCCCACCCATCCAGGCCCCCACCCATCTGTGCCCCCACCCATTCATGCCCCCACCCATTCAGGCCCTCACCCATCCCGGCCTCCACCCATCCAGGCCCCCACCCATCCCGGCCTCCAACCATCCAGGCCCCCACCCATCCAGGCCCTCACCCATCCAGGCCCCCACCCATCCCGGCCCCCACCCATCCAGGCCCCCACCCATCTCAGACCCCACCCATCCAGGCCCTCACCCATCCGTGCCCTCACCCATCCGTGCCCTCACCCATCCAGGCCCTCACCCATCCAGGCCCCCACCCATCCAGGCCCCCACCCATCCAGGCCCTCACCCATCCAGGCCCTCACCCATCCAGGCCCTCACCCATCCAGGCCCCCACCCATCCAGGCCCCCACCCATCCAGGCCCTCACCCATCCAGGCCCCCACCCATCCAGGCCCTCACCCATCCAGGCCCCCACCCATCCAGACCCCACCCATCCAGGCCCTCACCCATCCAGGCCCCCACCCATCCAGGCCCTCACCCATCCAGGCCCCCACCCATCTCAGACCCCACCCATCCAGGCCCCCACCCATCCGGGCCCTCACCCATCCCGGCCCCCACCCATCCAGGCCCCCACCCATCCATGCGCTCACCCATCCAGGCCCCCATCCATCCAGGCCCCCACCCATCTCAGACCCCACCCATCCAGGCCCTCACCCATCCGTGCCCTTCACCCATCCGTGCCCCCACCTATCCCGGCCCTCACCCATCCAGGCCCTCACCCATCCAGGCCCTCACCCATCTCAGACCCCACCCATCCAGGCCCTCACCCATCCAGGCCCCCACCCATCCAGGCCCTCACCCATCCAGACCCCCACCCATCCAGGCCTTCACCCATCCAGGCCCTCACCCATCCGTGCCCCCACCAATCCAGGCCCCCACCCATCCAGGCCCCCACCCATCCGTGCCCCCACCAATCCAAGCCCTCACCCATCCCGGCCCCCACCCATCCAGGCCCCCACCCATCCAGGCCCTCACCCATCCGTGCCCCCACCAATCCAGGCCCTCACCCATCCCGGCCCCCACCAATCCAGGCCCCCACCCATCCAGGCCCTCACCCATGCGTGCCCCCACCAATCCAGGCCCTCACCCATCCCGGCCCCCACCCATCCAGGCCCCCACCCATCCAGGCCCCCACCCATCCATGCCCCCACCCATCCGGGCCCTCACCCATCCAGGCCCCCACCCATCCAGGCCCCCACCCATCCGTGCCCCCACCCATCCAAGCCCCCACCCATCCAGGCCCCCACCCATCCATGCGCTCACCCATCCAGGCCCTCACCCATCCGTGCCCCCACCCATCTCAGACCCCACCCATCCAGGTTCCCACCCATCCATGCCCCCACCCATCCGGGCCCTCACCCATCCAGGCCCCCACCCATCCAGGCCCCCACCCATCCGCGCCTTCACCCATCCCGGCCCCCACCCATCCAGGCCCCCACCCATCCATGCGCTCACCCATCCAGGCCCTCACCCATCCGTGCCCCCACCCATCTCAGACCCCACCCATCCAGGCCCTCACCCATCCGTGCCCTCACCCATCCGTGCCCCCACCTATCCCGGCCCTCACCCATCCAGGCCCCCACCCATCCGTGCCCCCACCCATCTCAGACCCCACCCATCCAGGCCCCCACCCATCCGGGCCCTCACCCATCCCGGCCCCCACCCATCCAGGCCCCCACCCATCCATGCGCTCACCCATCCAGGCCCCCACCCATCCAGGCCCCCACCCATCTCAGACCCCACCCATCCAGGCCCTCACTCATCCGTGCCCTCACCCATCCGTGCCCCCACCTATCCCGGCCCTCACCCATCCAGGCCCTCACCCATCCAGGCCCTCACCCATCTCAGACCCCACCCATCCAGGCCCTCACCCATCCAGGCCCCCACCCATCCAGGCCCTCACCCATCCAGACCCCCACCCATCCAGGCCCTCACCCATCCGGGCCCTCACCCATCCGTGCCCCCACCCAGCCGTGCCCCCAACCATCCGTACTCCCACCCAAACGAGCCCCCACCCATCTGAAACCCCACCCATCCGTACTCCCACCCAAACGAGCCCCCACCCGTCCGTGCCCCCACACATTCGGACCACCATACATCCAAAATTCAAGCCGTCCATGCCCCTACCCGTTTGGACACCCACCTGACTGGGATTCCAACCGTTCATGGCATCACCCGTCTGGACACTCATCCATCCGGACCCGCACCCATCCGGGCTCCAACCCACCTGGACCCCGACCCATCCAGACACCTACCCGTCCGTGCCTCCACCCGTCTGGACCCCAAACCGTCTGTGCCATCATCCATGCGGACACCCACCCACCTGGACCCCCACCCGTCCAGACACCTACCCATCTGGACCACCACTTATCTGCACCTCCATCCGTTCGTGAAACGACCCGTCAAGACCCACAAGCGTCCGAACTTCCACCTGTCCAGACCCCCACCCATCCAGACCCACACGCGTCCAGACCGCCACCTGTCTGGGCCCCCACCCGCTCATGCCACCACCCATCTGGATCTACGCCCGTCCGTGCCACCACCCGTCTAGACCCCCACTTCTCCGGACTCTCACCCGCCAGGCCCCCCACCCATTCGTGCTAACACCCGTCCGGACGCCCATGCGCGTGGGAAATATACTGTATAAAATAAATGTATTATCATTATTATTAAATGGCGATATTGTCGGCGTGTTACGGTTATAACAGAAAAGCCTTCTTGGACTCATCGGAATAAATATTCTACATTTGCATGTCGGAGACAATAACTGGAGAGGCACCTTTATTTGTATTACTTGTACTCACACGACACAACTCGCTGAACATCAAGTTCGATGGCGCTAACTGCCTGGATAGCTGGCTGACTATCCAGCAGTGGCGACGATGGCGATGATGACAAGGACGCCAGCGACGATGGCGATGACGACTTCCACGGCGAGACGACCACGATTCCCACGGACAGCCGCGCTCCCTCTCTCACCCCCTTACATGCTTCCAGCGGGGCCCGGCCCTGCCTTGGCCACGCCCGCTTCTCGAACCTTCTAGCTGGTTCTGGGAGCTCAAAGATGGATCCCTTCCATGACCCTTGGCCCAGTTCTTCCGCTTGTGGACTTTCCCATGTATACTGTCTCCCCTTGGGTGGGTACACCCGCAATTACTACTTCTGGCCACCAGTCCACCCTGCTATACTCCATCACCCCCCGCTCTCTTTAAAAGGATAGCCGTCCTGGCTAATATTTAGCAACATCAAGATTGTTAGGGCAGAGCAACATCCCGCAGAACAACACACAATCACGAGTAGGGCAGAACAACGGCCCGGAGTTTGATAACAGAATAATACAACTCTGCAAGGGCGAGGGAAGTAAAAAATATATGACCCGTCATTCGATAGACACGATTCTGATGCACATTCCCTTTACAACCGCTCATGACATGAAAATATCCAACACGGGGTATCACTCTTGATTTGAAGCTTTCGTGACTGCAGGAATCCATACTCTTTGGTTCTTTCGGTAAAGTCACGTAGGTAGAAAATAATAGATCTCGACCTTTCGATCGCAACACAAGCAAATCGTCATCAGGTGGGACAACCACAGCAAGGAAAAACTGCTGACGTAAGCGAGAGGTCTGTCGTGGCACGAGGTTATATATGTAGGACTTGAAAAGTCACGCGCCACGTGTTCTGTTGCTATGGGAGCGAGCAGCGTACAGTGGGGGCAACTGAGGATACAGTTGTTGTACCATTAGGGGGGAGGTCATTGGGAGATGCCACAGGTGTTGGGGGTAACCGAGGACGCAGGCCGGTGATTGGTCAGGAGGGTGAGTGGCTGATGACTGGCGCCGGGCTGGCGGCGATAACAGGATCACGTGAGGCTGGGGGCCTGGGGGCGAGTAGCGAAGCGGGGGATGAGATAATGAATTGGGGCTGATTGGTTCGGGGATAAAGGCACAGCGTAACGGAGAGACAGAGTCTTGGTTGGAGTTGGAGTGGTTGGCGCCCGGGACAGAGACGGAGCAGCAGGAATAGATACGATAAGGGCAGCAGTGGATAGAGAGAATACAGATAGGGTAGCAGTGGATGGAGTGAGTACAGAGTAGGGTAGCAGCGGAGTAACGGACCTTGGGGGAGAGAGAGAGCGAGCGAAGTCGCGGAGCGGAGCGAGCGAACAGAGAGACATGGAGTGATGATGATGGCGGGTTATGCATTGGAGCGAACGGAGAGGCATGGAGGGATGACGAGGAGGAGGTGTGAACTATATGCGTGAATAAAAGACGAGAAAGACAAGAAGCTGTGGCATCAGTACGAGTCCTACATATAGTAGTGTATAGTGTAGTGTGTAGTGTAGTGTGTAGTGTAGTGTATAGTGCAGTGTATAGTAGTGTGTAGTGTATAGTGTATAGTGTAGTGTATAGTGTAGTGTATAGTGTAGTGTATAGTAGTGTATAGTGTAGTGTATAGTGTAGTGTATAGTGTAGTGTATAGTAGTGTATAGTGTAGTGTATAGTGTAGTGTATAGTGCAGTGTATAGTAGTGTGTAGTGTATAGTGTATAGTGTAGTGTATAGTGTAGTGTATAGTGTAGTGTATAGTAGTGTATAGTGTAGTGTATAGTGTAGTGTATAGTGTAGTGTATAGTAGTGTATAGTGTAGTGTATAGTGTAGTGTATAGTGTAGTGTGTAGTGTAGTGTGTAGTGTAGTGTATAGTAGTGTATAGTGTAGTGTATATTAGTGTATAGTAGTGTATAGTGTAGTGTATAGTGTAGTGTATAGTGTAGTGTATAGTGTAGTGTATAGTAGTGTATAGTAGTGTATAGTGCAGTGTATAGTAGTGTATAGTGTAGTGCATAGTGTAGTGGATAGTAGTGTATAGTAGTGTATAGTGTAGTGTGTAGTGTATAGTGTAGTGTGTAGTGTAGTGTATAGTAGTGTATAGTGTAGTGTATATTAGTGTATAGTGTAGTGTATAGTGTAGTGTATAGTGTAGTGTATAGTGTGTAATGCAGTGTATAGTGTAGTGTATAGTGTAGTGTATAGTAGTGTATAGTGTAGTGTATATTAGTGTATAGTAGTGTATAGTGTAGTGTATAGTGTAGTGTATAGTGTAGTGTATAGTGCAGTGTGTAGTGTATAGTGTAGTGTATAGTAGTGTATAGTGTAGTGTATATTAGTGTATAGTAGTGTATAGTGTAGTGTATAGTGTAGTGTATAGTGTAGTGTATAGTGTGTAATGCAGTGTATAGTGTAGTGTATAGTGTAGTGTATATTAGTGTATAGTAGTGTATAGTGTAATGTATAGTGTTGTGTATAGTGTAGTGTATAGTGCAGTGTGTAGTGTATAGTGTAGTGTATAGTAGTGTATAGTGTAGTGTATAGTAGTGTATAGTATAGTGTATAGAAGTTTATAGTGTAGTGTATAGTAGTGTATAGTGTGGTGTATAGTAGTGTAGTGTATAGTAGTGTAATGTATAGTGTAGTGTATAGTGCAATGTATAGTGTAGTGTATAGTGTAGTGTATAGTATAGTGTATAGTAGGCCTCGGAAGTACGGGGGGAGAGAGAAGGGGGGTGGAGGAGGCGGGGCAGGAAGTGGAGATCGAAGGTGGGCGTGGCCTCGGCGTGTCCGGGCCCCACCCCGGCCAAGCCCACCTTCGAGAACTCTCTAGAAGCTCCTCCCTCTGCTGTCCACGTGGCCCCCTGAGGTGGCCCCGGGGCCCCCGCCCCCACCTTGATCCGGTCACGTGTCCACCTGGGTTCACTCAGAGTGCCACGGCCTCACACAACCCCCGTGGCCCTGACCCACGGCCTCCAGATCTCCTGAACCGGCCCTGACGTCACCCGCATAGTAACGTCACACGTGTGCGTGTGTCCACAGTTAGGCCTCGGCAAGGTAAGGTAATTGACCCTTTTTACCGGGTAAAAGGGTAAAGGGTAAAGGTGTCGACATGCCAAGGGGTAAAAAGGTAAAGGGTAACAGGGTCAAGGTAGCTCGGAAGAATTGCCCGGTAGGGTAAAGGTAGCGCGAAGTATTACCCGGTAAATACGGTACCTTGTTTACCGCTAAAAGCTCCGTGGCGCAGTCCGTGGCCTACATTTAACAAGTAATATTAAAACAAACTTTATTAAAACACGCTTTTATTAAATGTACTGGTAATAGCCAGAACTCCACGACTCCAGGAAGTGGCCCCGAAGCTTGCCATAACGTAAGGGACCGTGGTCATTTACAGCCAACGTCAGTTGACCGTGGACAATTAGAGCCAAGCCGAAACATAACGTATGTAATGCGGGCATAAACGGCCTCGCGGATATGACGTCACGGGGGGAGGGGTTAGGTCACGTGGGGGAGAGGGGTAAGCTCTTAAGGGCGTTAACCGGAAGAGACGGGAGGAGAGTGTGAGAATAAAGACAGGAGGAGGCCACGCAGGGCAGAGGGCAGAAAGTGGCGCGATCGCCACGCGGTGAGACTCGGCACCGTTGGCCAGCGGTGTCCGGGCACGGGTGGAACGGAGAGCAGCGGTGGGGCTGCAGGGAGAGCAGCTGAGAGACTGCACAAGGGTGGAGAGGCTAAGAGGGAAGCCTGCAGCGGAGCTGCATCGGGAGCGGGGAGAAAAGGCTACGTGAGCGACGGCAGCTGTCAAGCTGCCAAGCGGAAGGCTCTGAGCGAGGGCCGTGTGGGGCAAAGTTGTAAGAACCCAAATAAAGGACAACGGAGACAGACACAGTGGAAGAGTCCTTTATTACACTGGTGTCAAAAGTGAAACAGCATGTCAAAACAGCTCAGAAGAAAGAATATTCCTGCACCATCGTCTGCTACATCATCTGACGACGACGACCTTCCTTAGGCGGTGGACCTGCCTGCGATGGAGGAGGAGATCCGAGCGGGAACGAGTACGGGTCCGGGAGTACAAGATGTCGCCGCGTCAGTGGACCCGTCCGCGCCGGAGGACGCGGACTTACGATAGAGGCAGATGGCGGCGCAGCTGGAGACCTTGAAAACCGTGCTGGCGCAACTGTGCGACCTCGTCACGCCGGCGATGGCGTCGGGGAGGCCCGGTGGTGATCCGCAGGCCTCGGCCTTGCCTGCGCTGCCAGTGCCATCTTGGGCGTGGCAGGGGAAGAACGGCGGGAAGCAGCCATCTTGCGCTCTCCGCGGCGGGGAGCCGCCATCTTGGACACGTCACGATGCGACGCCATTTTGAATATGCCGCGTGATGAGTCACCTGCCGAGGACGGCGCAGCGAGGAGTCGCAGCCGTCATCTGACAACTGTTAAAGAATTCTCCATCGGTGGCGATTGGAGTGCTTTCGCCTGCAGATTTTTGGTGGTGGTGCGCTCCGCCAGGTGGACTGACGCAGAGGCCCTGGAGGTTCTACCAACTCTTCTCGACGACGAGTCGGTGCGATTCTTCCGTTCTATAAAGGCCGAGAAAAAGAAAACGTTGAGGGGAGTTTTCGGCGAGATGGCGGATACATACGAGCCGCCGGATGATGCTCACCGCCGGTTTGTTCAACGCCAGCGAGCACCCGAGGAGTCGCCGGTGACATACAGGGGTGCTGTCTTGGAGTTAGCCATGGCCGCATACCCAGAGACGGAGCCTGACCTACTCGAACCCCTCATTTTGGGCAAAATGCTCGAGCTGTCCCGGGATTTGGAGATCCCTATGCCGGTGTGTGGCCACGAAAAGCTGACATCCCGGGCGGCCGCTAAATGTCTGGATGCCCAGTTCAACCTGCGCCGCTGGAAGCAAGTCACGGCGTGGACGGGGGGGCCCATCGTCGAGGGAGGTGCCGTGGGTTGGGATCCCAAGAAGGCGGTGTACGTTCCTGACGGGGGGGGCCCGCAAGAGCTGACAGCCGCCTCTGCTCAGTGGTCGGCCCGCGGTGGACCGGGGCCGCGATCTGCGCCGCCGACGCGGGAGCGTCGGGATGGGGGGCCTGCGGCGCGGCGCAACGACATCGAGTGCTTCCGCTGCGGTCGTAAGGGCCATTACGCCAGGGACTGCTGGGCCCGTATCCCAGGTCCGCCCCAGCAGGAGGCCTCGACAGCAGACGTGCCGCGGAAGGATCCTCCAGGACAGGCAAGTCGGTGCGCACCAGACACCCGGCAAGGCTTGACACCTCATTCATCACCGTTGTCGCGCGATCCGGGTGTTGTTAATAACGGGAGGCCATCGACTGGGCCATGCCGCTCAGTAACGCAGTGGCATAAATTGGCACGGCGGGTCGTCGCGGCCGCTACTGGTTCGTCCACTGTACCGGGTTCTATACAAGGGGTGGACGTGCGCATTTTAGTGGACTCCGGGGCGTCCGCGACCATTATATCGGATGTAATTTTCCATCTGTTGGGCATCCCACCAGAGGCCGTGCGTCCGGTTTACGATTCCTGCGTTGCGGCGAACGGGGGTAGTATGTTCTTGGTTCTTTCGGTAAAGTCACGTAGAAGGGAAGTAATAAAATAAAAATAAAAAAACATAATAAAATAAAATAATTCTCACGACGTTTCGGCTACAACGCATGCAGCCGTCTTCAGGTGAAGAATGAGACGCTGCCAAGCTACATAAAAAAAAAACTAAAGTATAAACTGCATAGCACCATCAGTATATTTACTATACTCTACAATAAGCTGAGTTACTAACAGCAAGTAATACATTACAATTCTACGTCGTAAAAATTATATAATATGCTTCCATCTAAACTTTATTCTCTTACATCACACGAGCATACACCGTACTGCCATAGATAAACCCAACATTAAATTACATACTGTCTTGCTATAAACCACATTTTAATATAACACTATGTATTATTCTACCCACCCTAATGTGTATCACACTGCTATATGTTTACTATACAATTACGATACTATATATTACTTTGTACATTGTATTAAGCATATAAATGTTATACTATTTGTTATTATACACTGTACCATTGACCGTCGTGTCAATGGGTGAGTCGTGGGGGGAAAACTTGCAGCGGAGCAAAGAATCCATTCCCTGCGGAGAATACAATGCCAGTGAGTGGAACGCGGTCTGAAAGTCACCGTAAACGTGAACACAATCAGTTAAGATCCGAAATGGTTTATTACGTCCTTCCAATGATTGCTAAGCCAGAATCCATCTTCTCGGTTGAAATTGTCTCTGTGTTTGTATATGTGGATCGCCTCATGAACGAATCTCTCATGATAGCCAGATGGCTTGCAGAGAACCTCTGTCTTGGAGAAGTCAATGTTATGTGAGCCCACTGAGTTGTAACAGTGATCTGCCACTGCTGAGGTGTTTGTCCTACCGTGTTTCAGGTCTGCTTTATGTTCACGGATGGGGTCCGAGGCATGTCGTTTGGTTTCCCCAATGTAACTGCTACCACAGAGGCAACTTAGTTTGTAGACGCCAGGGTACTGTATGTCTGGAACCACATCTTTTACAGACGGGTCCAGATCACGGATTTTATGTACTGTGTTGAATTGGACCTGGATCTTGTGTTTAATCAGGATTTTGAAGATCTTTTTTGTGACCCCAGCAATGTAGGGTAAGGTGATGGTCTTGAAAGGCTCCTCAACAGGATCCTTCTTGATGGTTGGAGTGATGGCTTTGCGGATTTTGTAGTCGGAGTAACCATTAGCCTTAAGAACTTGGCGTACGTGCTTGAGTTCACTGGCAATGTGTTCCTGGTCGGAGATGCATTGGGCTCTATGGTATAGAGTCTTGATGAGGGAATTCTTCTGGGATGGATGGTGGTGGGAATCCGGTTTTAGGTAAGCATCCGTATGGGTGGCTTTCCTGTAGACAGAGTGGCTCATTGAACCATCAGGTCTCCTTTTAATTAGGACATCCAAAAAGGGTAGCTTGCCATCTTTTTCGACTTGGTAGTATGGGCATTGTGGGCCAGGTGGACGCCAATATATCTATCGGGGGAGTGTCGGCCTCGGGAATTGTGTTAATTTCGAGGTCCCTTGCGGTTCCGTGTTTGTTGGGAACTGATTTTCTGGCCAAAATGCCCATTCTAATTAGAATTAATGAAAACTGTATCGAATTACCGGGGGGTCGTAAAATTACATTTCTGCCGTCGCCCTGGGGGCGACCTGCTCCGGTCGGCCAGGTGCAGGCGCTGTCTGAGGTATCTGTTGACATTCCACCGGGCTCACAGATGCTTATCCCTTTGCGGTATCGGAAACTTGTACCTGGTCGAGAGGGAGCAACTGGAGTTTTGTTATCGCCGTCCGCTACTATAACGGGCGGATCGGCGCTCGTAGGGGCACAGACTATTATCCGGCCGGACCAGCAGCCATTTTTGCAAGTGCTTAATGGGAGTACGGAAAATGTGTGTCTGCCGGCTGTGAACGGTTGTGGCACACGCCACCACAGCGTTTACGGCCCAGGACTATCTGGGCCGCCGGGAGATGGTTGCCGGTGTTTCAGCCTATGCGGCCCCAGATAATCGCTGGATAGCCGAATTGTGCGGAGAAAATTCTTCCCTTTCCAGGGAACAACGGTTCGCGCTTTGCGCGCTATTGTTGAATTATTCGGATGTGTTTAGCTCCGACGATCTGGACTTGGGACGCACCTCCTTGCTTTCTCATCATATTGACACTGGAGACGCTGCTCCTATTCGGTTGAACTCGCATCAGATGAGTCCGGCGGAGCGAGATCATGTTCGAGGGGCAGTGGATGAAATGTTGGCTGCGGACATAATATCTCCATCTAATAGCCCATGGGGTGCGCCTGTGGTCTTGGTTAAGAAAAAAGACGGGAAATTGCGATTTTGTGTGGATTTTCGGAAATTGAATAAAGTGTCCGTGGCAGATGCGTACCCCCTGCCGCGTATGGACGATTCCCTCGATGCCTTGTCGGGGGCGAAGTTCTTTTCGACGCTGGATCTCTCTTCGGGATTCTGGCAGCTTCCCCTCGATGAGTCCTCGCGGGAAAAGACTGCTTTCCGTACGCCGCAGGGGTTATTTCAATTTAATTGTCTTCCGATGGGGTTGAATGCTGCCCCCGCCACATTTCAGAGGTTGATGGAACTGGTATTAACGGGGTTGCAGTGGGAGACATGTCTGATATATTTAGACGATATTATCGTCTTCAGCCGCACATTTGACGAACATTTACTGAGGTTGGAGGCGGTGTTCGCCAGGATGCGTTCCGCAAAATTGAAATTTAAACCTAAGAAATGTCACCTACTGCAACGGTCCGTGCGCTATTTTGGACATATTGTTAGTGCGGATGGGGTTGCCATGGATCCGGACAAGACGGCGTGCGTCCGTGACTGGCCAACCCCGGCCACGGTGGGGGATGTGCGTCGGTTTTTGGGGTTTGCCTCATATTATCGTAGGTTTGTTCTCAATTTTGCAACGATCGCGAGGCCTCTGCACCTCCTTACGGGTAAAGGACGAAAATTTGATTGGGGACCGCCGGAGGAGGCGGCGTTTAAAGGCCTGCGCATCGGGGACGCATAGGTGTGCGCCGATCCAGCAGCCCCCTCAGCCTGTTGTGTTGGCGGTCGAGGTGCCTGAGGCTCCAGTGGGGCCAGGACCGGCTGATGGGGTTTTGAACCGTCCAAGGGCTGTATGGATTCGTGAACAAATGCTGGACGATTCATTGGGGACCCTGCGGAGTCGGGCTGCGAAGGAGAGTGGGGGACCGGGTTCCGGGGGAACGCCGGGAACCGCTCTCCGCGACGGACTGCTTATGTGGAGGGAAGGGTTACAGGTGAAGTACCGGTGAAGACGCTTGACGCCGAGGTTGAGGCACACGTATATTTATTTCACAATACGACAGTGGGCATATACACACTCGAGGGGGTATCGGCCCCCTCACCCGTATAACTCGGGATACACCCCTAGCTAACTCTGTCCTAGCCCCGAATCCTCCACTAATGGGCTAGGGGAGGCTAACTGGCCCGACACTGGTAAGTCGGGCCCGGTACCCGGAGTTCCAGACCAGCTCTTACAAGAGCACCGGCTCTGGCTTTCAGGACCACGCCGCTGGCTCAGTCCTGTCCGGCCCTGAAAAGGACATCGAACTAGGGGAGTCCAGGGCTCTATCTAAGACGTCTTCAGTCTTCTTCCCTTAGCTTAAACATAACTGACTCGAGCCCTTTGAACATCCCCTTTTATACCCAACCCCTCCCTGAGGGGTGGGGCCCCGGGGGATCATAACGTTCGAACCAGCCCCCCCCAGGGTGTCTGGCTCGGACGTCGTAGAGGGCACCTCCTCGTGCACTTACGTAGCCCCGCCCACTGTGTTTGTTTTCCATAGGCTGCCATGCATAACGGGCCCTCTCTTTAACACCCCTACATCACCCCCCCCCCCCCGCATAGCTTGCAGCCGTCCCGGCTGCCAACATACAAAAATGACAATAAAAGTGCATTTACACCTTGACCGCGCGTGTGCCTCACTATTTTTCAACAATAACAAGAACAGCAACAAGAACACAACAAAATGCAACAGCAAGAAGAGAAAACAACCCGATGCACCCCCCCTTGAATAAATACGAATTCCGTAAAAAAAACAACCTATATACAATTTGCAGGGAACCCACCATACACACAACACCAGGTGAACCCAACGTATGTACATTTCAATGGGCAGGGAACACACCACCCACACAACACACAATGAACCCAACATATGTACATTCAATGGGCAGGGAACACACCACCCACACAACACACGATGAACACAACCTATGTACACATCTTCCGGCCTCATAACAGTCTGCGCATTTTTGCGCGCGTCCTTGCAGCGGGCCCCTCACACGGGGTAACCCCGGGTGGCGGACCGTCAGGTGGCAATTGTCCATCCCGGAGTGAGTCCTCATCCGATGCCGCGCGACCGTCGGTATCCCCAGGAGGGGTGGTCGGGCGTGAGCCCGTCAGTCCTGATGCACCTGGAGGTGGCACGGCCGGCAAGGCATTAGGTGAGAACGACGGAGAC